AATTATTTTTTTTAAAAAAGAAGACATAAGCAAGAACTGTAAATCCACCTTCTTAATGCTAATATGAATTTGAAATATCCAAATTTGAATATTTATGATTACCAGACACATTTTTTCTTATTTTCCATTTAATTACTTATAATACACATTTCAAAGTGTCACAAACTCATGAATTTCCAATAAATTATACTATGATGGATATTAAGTATATACACCTATTATCCCAAAATGTATCTCTAAATGAAATATTTGTATTCATATTGTTAGCATTCTAATTTCACAATACTATTCATTTGTACACCTACGTGTTGGGTAAAATATTTTGTTACTGTAAATTTTTTGGTTATGCATTAGAGAAAAAATCATAGCAAGGCAAATTTGTTAATGTATAAAACATATTTAGCATGATCTTTGACTATGTTTGTGCATATACAATGCTACTTTGACTGCTATAGTAAAATAATCCAGAGTTAGTCACCATAGCTAAGAATGTGAAAAAGCATTGTAAGAATTTGTCTTGCTATAATGATGCTATTAAAAATGAAACAAAGTTAATATACTGTATTATTGCATAGAGTATTTGTCTATATTCATATTGAAAAATGCCCAAAAACCCCAAAACTGAATCCTAATTGTTGGATGTCACTTTGCTATGAATTTTTAAAAGGTAATAAAAGAAAGAAAAGGAAAGAAATTATTGAAAATACGTTGGGTTTTCATTATTCTTGATGAAATACCACATGAGGATACTGGTCTAGGCCTGATGCTGAGAATAATATAAGAATCATGAGGCTATAAGACCTAAGTATTGCCAAAAAAAGAAAATCATTACCATTTTCATGTCAGGTGTACTAAAAATTTATAAAAACTATTTTTTAAGAACTCGGTATTATAAATACTTTGTTTAGTTTCTCCATTAAAAAATGATTTATAAAAGGAGAATAAAAGTTCATTTCTACCCCTAAAACAGTAAGATAAAAAGAGTAATCAATATTCAGAATCCAATAGACAGAGTTAACAACTAGTTAAACATAAGAAAGTATTAGTGAACTGGAAGGTAACTACCCAGAATGAAGCATAAAGATACTGAGATAGAAAATATATGGCTAGAGGGTCAGAGACATTGAAGCTACAGCTAGAACAGCTAACATGCTTCTGCAGTTCTGGAAGAAAGTTGGGCAGAAGCAATGTGGAGATTTTTCCAAAAGTGATAAAATGTATCAGTTCATATATTTTTAGAAACCATCAAACTTCAGACAAGATAACTAGAATCAAATTAACATAAAATGACAGGACATCAAAGACCAATAGGAAATCTGAAAAGTAACTAGAGGAAAAGATAGGTTATGTTAAAGAGAATAACTGTCTAAATGACAACCTAATTCTTAACGGACAAAAATAAAGATAGAGTTCAAAGGAATCATGTCTTCAGTGTATTTCAAAAGTAGGATAGATCTTGATAAACAGAAACTTAAAATATATCTTTTCAGATAAAAGAAAAATTGTTATTGTTATTATTTTTGTTTGTAGAGTTGGAGTCTCACTTTGTTGTCCAGGCTGGAGTTCAGTGGTAGGATCATGGCTTACTGCAGTCTGGAACTCCTGAGCTCAAACCATCCTCCCACCTCAGCCTTGTGAGTAGCTTCGCTATGCCTGGCTAGCTTTTTCATTTATTGTAGAGGCCGTTTCGCTGTGTTGCACAGGCTGGTCTCAAACTCCGGGGTTCTCCTACCCCAGCCTTACAAAATGTTGGGATTATGGGTGTGAGCCACCCTGCCTGGTCAATAAAGGGTCTTATTGAAAATATTAAGTTGAATATGCAAGAAGGAATACAAATTAATGAAAGTGACAAATATGTGCATAATTCTAAATGAATGTTTACTGTAAAAAATAATAATGTCTTGGGGTAATTATAGAATTGATAAGACATATGAAAATGGCAAAACTAGAATGGAGGTAAAGGTGACAGGAGTAAGATTAGTTAAATTATTTTTTGAACTTTCTGTGTCTATGAGGAAATTTTGAACAATGACAATATAATTCTACTCATAGGTATATATACAAAGGAATTGTATCAATGATATATGAAAGAATGTTCTAGTAGAATTATTCATAACTATTCAAAAAAGAAGCTGGCCAAATACATATTAAGGTTGGATGAATCATTACAGTAAATCCATACAACGGAACAACATAGAGAAGTGAAAAAAAAAATCACATGTACTTGCAACTATGTGACTAAATTTCAGAAACATAATGTTGAGTCCAAGAAGCCACAAACAAGAAGAACATATAGGAATGCACCTTCACACAGTTCAAAGCAGGCCAGACCAAGCTATGCAGTTTAGGGTTGCATACCTAGTATGCAGAAAAAGTATGAAGAAAATCAAGGAAACGCTCATTATAAATTACGGATATTGCTTATCTCCAGAGATGCAAAGAAATGTTTAGGGGCTTGGAAACTGGCATGGAGGTGGACAAACGCTGTTTTCAGTGTTCCTTGTCTTGCCCTGCATCACAGTTACTTGAGTGCTTATGATACATTGCGATATTTCCCATTTTTGTATTAGTTCATTTCTAATTGTGCATTATAACTTTAATATACAAATTTGTAATTAGAAGAAATGTCTCATAGAAATTATTATTACTGATCTCATTACATACTGAGGGGAAATATCAACTATTTGTATACATTCTTATACAACTCTAAGATAGTTGAAATGGGAACTTTCTCATTTAGTTGCAACAGGAGCAAATTTTAGATGTTATCGTCAAACCCCAGATCTTTCCAAAGGCTTTCTTCTAGCCTTAATTATCCACTTCACAGGAACAAATCTTTGCCTGTGAAGTGGATAATCTATTTTTACTTTTGGCTCTAGAATTCCTGACAAAACAAGCTTGTACATATTTCCCACACTTGGTTTAGCAGAGTTCTTTTATCAATTATATTTTTGTGCAGGAGAAAATCCTCCAAAACTACATTAGATATTTATATCTCACACGTTGTTGGATTTGTTTTTTGTTTTTTCTGAGACAGAGTCTTGCTCTGTCGCCCAGACTGGAATGCAGTGGCGCCATCTCAGTTCACTGCAACTTCCGCCTCCCAGGTTCATGCCATTCTCCTGCCTCAGCCTCCTGAGTAGCTGGGACTACAGGCACACGCCACCATTCCTGGCTAATTTTTGCATTCTTAGTAGATATGGGGTTTCACCCTGTTGGCCAGGATGGTCTCTGTCTCTTGACCTCATGATTCGTCTGCTCGGCCTCACCCACACTGGGCCTGGATTTCATTTTTCTAACCTGGGTTTGGTTGGTGACTGTGGTGATTTCAGATGGGCCAAATTCTGCATCTTTGAGGACGTTAGAGTTTTGCCTAGTTAGTCTGGATCAGGTGGCAGCAATCTGACGTCATTAACTTCTCATTCTCCTCTGGAAACAGTGTACTAGCCAGGCGATATTCTCATGGTAAATGGAAAGAGGAAGAATCCCCAGTATGGAAGCCATCTCAAATCTCTATGCAAAGAGTATTAATTTTCTGTTCATCAAAGCAAGTTAAATGATTGAACTCCAAGTTCAGGGGAAAGGTAGTCAGTCTTCCTGTGATGGGAGGATACTGCGAGATTATATATCAAATGGCCTGGTACTCAGGAATTTTTATAAAATTGCTAAATATTTAAGATAATAATAAATATTTAAACATTAAACTTGAGAGAACCTTTACCAAATCCTAAGAATTGGAGATATGTATGAAAAATAAATATTATTAATGAGCTGAAAACCCTCAGTGGGAAAATAACACTAATTTCATCTGGAAACCTCTTGGACATGCGTTTTTTAATTTGGAAATTACAAGAAAATAAATTGTTCCGTTCATAAGTGGTGTGCCCATGTTTGTATTTGTGTGCATATTTATGATCTTGTGAGTAACAAAGTTATACAAAAGTATTAGCAGCTAGCAGATCTTATGGAGTACTGGACTGCCTGTGGTTCTCAAGAAAATCTTAGACGCTTTTGACAAAAGCAGTTTGGATTCTGTATATTTAAATATGTCATTAAAAAATGTCCATATAGGTGATGATCTTAGATATGACCAAGCTCCCTTTAAGAATTCAGACATTTACTATATGATGTATGTATTGCGTTACAAAACTTCCCTAACAACTGAAGTCGCTAATGACAAATGATGGAGAGGTTACACAAGAAAAAATTGCAAACACTGAAAGAGAATATGTCCTTGTTTGCATACCAGCAAATGAGAATTCAGGTTTCATGTCATCGTCAGTGTGAATAATTCCAGCCTAAAACAAGAACAGACAGTGAATGAATGAGTTAATTTGAGTTTGAAAATAAGAATGTTTTCCATAAAGAAATCATTGAACTCATCAATTAACATGCCATGGTGATTTCTGGCTTGGAAATTGTGACACTTGTCACAACAATTAAAAGTAAAAAGAATGTCACAGCACATTAAAAAATCAGGTGCATATGGTATTTAAGGTCAGGATATTCAAGCAATCACACAGTTGTAGTACACTGAGAGGTGAAGCCAGCTAGACTTCCTGGATGGAGTGGGCACTTGGAGAATTTTTCTGTAGCTAGCGAGAGGATTGTAAAATGCTCCAATCAGTGCTCTGTAAAATGCACCAATCAGTGCTCTGTAAAATGCACCAATCAGAAGGATTCTAAAAGTAGCCAATTGCAGGGAGGATTGAAGAAAGAGCAGTCTGATAGGACAAAAAAGGAAAATGGGAGGGGACAAATAAGGGAATAACAGCTGCCTGGGTCACCTCCTACTCTGTGGAAGCTTTGTCTTTTCACTCTTCACAAGAAACCCTGCTTCTGCTCACTCTTTGGGTCCGTGCCATCTTTAAGAGCTGTAACAGTCACTGTGAAGGTGTGTGTCTCCAACATTGAAGTCAGCGAGACCACGAACCCACCTGCAGGATCTAACTCTGGACACACTACCAGCATTTTAAAAATTTCTTTTTGTCTGTTCAGACATGATAACTTTTTTACCCATCATTTTTTCCATTCTAGTAGTAGTTACCTTTGTTATTGGAAATTTTGCTAATGGTTTCATAGCATTGGTAAATTCCATTGAGTTGGTCAAGAGACAAAAGATCTCCTTTGCTGACCAAATTCTCACTGCTCTGGCGGTCTCCAGAGTTGGTTTGCTCTGGATATTATTATTAAATTGGTATTCAACTGTTTTGAATCCAGCTTTTTATAGTGTGGAAGTAAGAACTATTGTTTATAATCTCTGGGCAGTAACCAACCATTTCAGCAACTGGCTTCCTACTAGCCTAAGCATATTTTACTTACTCAAGATTGCCAATTTCTCCAACCTTATATTTCTTCACTTAAAGAGGAGAGTTAAGAGTGTCGTTCTGGTGATACTGTTGGGGCCTTTGCTATTTTTGGTTTGTCATCTTTTTGTGATGAACATGAATCAGATTATACAGACAAAAGAATATGAAGGAAACATGACTTGGAAATGCAAATTGAGGAGTGCAATGTACCTTTCAAATACGACTGTAACCATACTAGCAAACTTAGTACCCTTCACTCTGACCCTAATATCTTTTCTGCTGTTAATCTGTTCTCTGTGTAAACATCTCAAGAAGATGCAGCTCCGTGACAAAGGATCTCAAGATCCCCGCACCAAGGTCCACATAAAAGCGCTGCAAACTGTGATCTCCTTGTCGTTATGTGCCATTTACTTTCTGTCCATAATGATATCAAGTTGGAGTTTGGGAAGGGTGGAAAACAAAGCTGTCTTCATGTTCTGCAAAGCTATTAGATTCAGCTATCCTTCAGCCCACGCATTCGTCTTGATTTGGGGAAACAAGAAGCTAAAGCAGACTCTTCTTTCAGTTTTGTGGAATGTGAGGTACTGCGTGAAAGGACAGAAGCTTCAATCTCCATAGATTGACAAGAGGGGCATTGTGTGTCTTCTAACAGAAAACAAACTGGTGGTGTGTGAAACATTTTCTATTTCTTACTGATTTTTCTGTAATATACATGTATGAATAATTTCCAAATGTGTACCTAGAAAAGTCATTGACCTAAAATTAGTCTTAAAAAGTATATATATATGCACACACACATATTTATATGTGTGTGTGTTTATGTGTGTATGAAAGCTTAGAACATTCGCAATAATGTGACCTTTTTGTGTTTTTTCATACAGACTATCAAATTATACAAAATATGACAAAAATTCCTCAGAATTATGAAGTCATGTGTATTTCATTTATGTACTTTATATTTCATTTGTAGAATGTATGAAGTCTATTTATCATTATTAAGAACTAACAGCTTATCCCAGGAAAAATATTGCTCTTTTCTAATGTGATTAGAACCACACAAATATGCCATATTGTGCTTAGAATTCACTGTTTGAACCTCTAACTTATTGGACGGTAAGGTCATTCACTTCTAAATCAGTAATGAGGATGTATCTTCGGGATTCTATTCCATTATGAATTCCTATTTTATGTTCAGTAAAAGGCAAACAGAATTATTGTTAGGAAACAATGCACACAAGAGAATTCGTGTGACAAGCATATGCACAGTAAATTTCATGTGTGTCTGCCATAAGCAGTACTGAGGAATATTAGATTTCATATAAGTATGTGAATAGCTTAGAAAAAAATCTCTTCTGTAATAAAGGGATGAAAAACCACGATCATGATCTCGATTGCTGTTATCAGTTTCCATATGCAGTTAGAAACATCATTTCATCCAGCTTTGGAATTCAAGAAAAGTTGTTTTTGAAGTTGAGATCTGATATAAACTATTTTAGTATTTTTTTCTAAAGCACTTCTAAGCCCCTGATTGCTAATTATATCCTTATCTTCCATTTATAATATTCCTTCTAAACTTCAGATAAGATAACTCAAATCTTTTCTTTTCAAAAAAAAAAAACAAATCAATGTAAAATTAGTATAGAAATTATTGACAATAATTCAGTGAAACATTTTGTAAATATTAAAATGGTATCTATGAAATCTATGTATTAATTTTGGGATATGCCTTAACATTGTAATTTTTTTGTCAATAATGAAATGAATGTGTGTTGACATATTCATTCATAGGAAGCTCTAATATAAGAAAGAAATGTACAGTCTTGTTCACAGCTAAATTCTACCTGACTGTATTAATTCATGGTTTTAAGAAGTTTTAACAATGTTATTTAAACCCTAAGATAAATCATCTCCACACCTGATTTATGTATTTTTTAATCATATATCTTCTTCAGTACAATGTAAGAACCATAAAAAAAGAGATCATGTTTGTCTTGCTTTCCGTTGACTCCCAGGAACTAGAGCCCAGCACCAAGAATAGATGGTCAAAAATGATACTTTAATGAACAAATAAATTGGTGCATAAAATGGATAAGTTGATGTGGTAAACCAATGAAAAGGAAACAAATCACAAAATCTGCAGTTGCATGAATTCCCCTGTTCTGGTCTCAGGTTAAGGTTACAGTCTTATTCAAGTGGAATCCTTCCTCAAAGGAAAAGTTTGGCTATTCCACAATTTTAGGGGAAATGTCACAATAATATAGTCTTGATGCAGCTGTATCAGGTGTCTGATTTGGAGACAAGGTAGAACATCAAAGTTGGATGGCACCTATTACAATATTTTTAAAAGGCATGTAAACAACTTTGGTCTATTTGAATATGTATTTTTTTCTATTGTCAATTATATATTAGTGTTATGATATTTTCTAGTTGATTATTACTTAAACAAAAATGGCATTTCATTTCAAAAAATTGAGTTACTAACCAGCTACTTTACCAAATTTTTTAAAAATGTAATACCTGTTATTGAAGTGATGACATTTATTTAGAAGTCAAGTTCAAGACAAAAATGGCAAGGACATGTGGAAACTGAGACAGGAACAAACGTGATACAATGTGTGGTGATGTCTGGTGTAACTCTGCTGGCAGCCACTTCACAGTGAGGTGAGAGACAGCACGGTGGTCATCAGATGTGTGCACTTGGCTCCCGCACTTTTCCCTAAGGGTTACAAGGGAAAACTACAGCCGGCATTAGTCCATGGAAGAGAGAGAGGAGGGAGAATCTATCTGCTCAGCTATCATTTGACTTCTATTTCCCGTTCACCATGGTTTACCTGAAGCAGAACTACCATCTCTGCTGCTCTGTCTTACATCATCCAGTCCCTTGGTGGAGATTATCAAAGTCAGACCTCATGCCCACAGTGTGGTGATTCATTCAAATCCCAAATGGAAGGATGATCTGGATCAGGCAAGGTGCTGGCCAGGAGAATAGGAGATAGTGAGGGGAATTTAAGAAAGCACATGTTTGTGTTCAGTGCCGCCACTCCTTGTGCCACTGAGATGTCCTCACACCCTCCAGTCATGGTTGACTTTATGAGCATATGACTCGCACAGTTGCATAGGGTTTTGTGCTTATAGGGGTTTGTACTTAGAGGGACTCTGTGCTTGGATTAATGTTCTGCATTTGCTGTTTTGCTTATCAGACAGAGGATACTCCTCCGCTGAAGAGGGAATGGTCTTGCACTAATTCCATAGGAATTTGCTCTCCCCTCTCCTACAGGCTTGTTGGTGACATGGACAGAGTCCTGTAATACACGCTCTGTATGTTTCTAGCATCTTTGAATCCTGCTGGATCATCTGGCACAGTGGCCAGAGCAGCTTGGACCACAGCCTATATCTGCCGTAGAGTCCTTTTTTGCTCTGGCTTCCACTTGAGACCAGTAGCCTTTGGAAACTTCTGTAATGAGTCAGAGCAATATTCTCAAATGTGGAATACGTTGTCTCCAACATCCCAATGGCCCCCTGAAACATTGTATCTCTTTTGTAGTAATGGGAAATATATACATAGAGCAACATGTCAATTACTTTAAAAAAAGATTGTTTCAACATGTGGTCTAGGGACAATGAACGCTTTAAAACATCACCTATGTTGTAGGTCCCTGAATCTCCTCAGGTTTATTTCTTTTCTTTTGGTGTTTTACTTCCATTCACTATATTTAAGAAACTTGCCACTTCCTGACTATTGTACCAACTCATATATTATTATTATTGCTATTATTTTAAGACAGGGTCTCATTTTGTCCCTGAGGCTGGAGTGCAGTGGCAGGATCAGAGCTCACTATGGCCTCAACCTTCTGGGCTCAAGTGATTCTCCCGCCTCTACATTGCTAGCAGCTGGGACTGCAGGGGAACACCACCATGCCTGGTTAATGTTTGTATTTTCTGGAGGGTTAGGATTTCACCATGTTACTCAGTCTGGTCTCAAACTCCTGAGCTGAAGTGATCTTCCTGTGTCGGCCTCCTAAATTGAAGGGATTACTGTCATGTGCCACAGGGCCCGGGCTGTAATATTATTAATATATTAAATAAGCACGATGTTTTTTACAAAATGTAAACAGAGAACAGAAGTGACTTAGCCATGATATTAAAACAGTGAAACAGTGTTATTATTCTTACAATACAAGGCAAATTGTTTGATTTTTCCTCCTAATGGGTGTAGATTAAGAACCATTCACCAAATCACGAGCCCTGTAAAAAGTGCCAGAAGCTCTGCTCTGCTCAGTGAAGATAGCACATCCTGGAAAGCATTTGTGAGTGTTGATTTAAGTTTAGAGTAATCTGCATTCATCCTATAACCCGTCTGGTTTTGGTAGGTTAACTGAATCGGATTATAGAAAGGACTACCATCCCTTGTAACTTACAAGTGTTTTGTCATGGCAGTGACCAATTCCATTCCTTAGGGAATGCGGTTATATTTTATACATTGTGTTGCCAATAAAGGAGAATTTCAGAGGCTTCCCTTGGGTCCTGCTATAATAATGTCCCTTATACTACAGTTGAGGAAGAATGTGAGAGTCCTGCCAGCTGCCATAGATATCCATTTCAATTACACATTCAGGAAGAGGTAATAACTACAAACTGATTACATCCACCTTGGGATGGACATGAGCCGAAGCTCTAGGTAGCATCTGACTTTCAAGCACTCCCACTGCAGGCTGGATGTGATGGTTCCTCCCTGTAGTCCTAGTACTTTGGGAGGCCAAGGTGGGAGGATCCCTTGAGAGCCAGAGTTCCATTTGCAATGTACAGAAACTTCATCTCTACAAAAAATTAAAATTTAGCTGATGTGGTGGTGCATGCCTATAGTTCCAAATACTTGGGAAGCTGAGGCAGGAGGATTGCTCGAGCCCAGGAGTTCAAGACCAGCCTGGGAGACATGGCCAAACTCTGTTTCTACCAAAAATACAAGAATTAGTCAGGTGTGGTGGTGTGTGCTTGTAGCCTGTAGTCCCAGTTACTCAGGAGGCTAAAGGCAAGAGATTCCTTGAGCTTGGAGTTGGAGGCTGCAGTGAGCCAAGTGTGTACTACTCCACTCCAGCTTGGGCCACAGAGTGAGACTCTGTCTCAAAAAAACAAAAACAAACAAACAGACAAAAACACTACAAAATCTAGGGTGCACCCATAACATTTATTACTTGCATTTGGTTCATTTAATATGTGTTTGTATCTCAGTTACTAATCCCAGTTTTTACATGTAGCTCTATGATTAAATATGAGGTTTTTTTTTTGGTTTGGTATGATATGAAATAGGATATAAATTCATTTTTTATGTATGTGATTATTCAACTTTCTCATTATCAATTGTTGAAAAAAATTATTAATTCCTATTCAACTGCAGTGGTAGTCTTTTTGAACTCAATGACCATGAACGTCAGTGTTAATTTCTAGACTCTCAGTTATGTTTTATGTTCTTTTTGTCTACTGTAATGCCAACACCACACCATCCTGATAAGTGCAGCTTTGTAATAAGCTTTGAAATCAGAAATTGTAATTCTGCAATTTTGTTTTTATTTTATTTTATTTTACTTTATTTGAGACAGAGTCTCACTCTGTTGCCCAGACTGGAGTGCAGTGGCGGGATCTGGCTCACTGCAAGCTCCGCCTCCCGGGTTCACATCATTCTCCTGCCTCAGCCTCCAGAGTAGCTGGGACTACAGGCGCCCGCCACCACATCCAGCTAATTTTTTGTATTTTTAATAGAGACAGGGTTTCACCGTGTTAGCCAGGATGGTCTCCATCTCCTGACCTTGTGATCCACCCACCTTGGCCTCCCAGGGTGCCAGGATTACAGCTGTGAGCCATCCGGCCAACTTTGTTATTTTTTAAAATTTATTTTGGTCATCTGATAACTTGGTATTTCCAGATATATTGTAGGACTAGTTTTTCATTTTATCCAAAAAA